GAAGCTCAGTTCCGAAAAGCAAATGAGGGACGCCAGCAACTGCTAGTCAGGTCAAGAATTGCATAGCAGGCAACTTAACTTTGAGAGTTCTTTTGCTGAAGTCTTACCATATAAATTGACGGAGTTAGCACTGCAAAGAACACGAGACTAAGTGAAGCGAGGTAGATCATAAATGAACTATTCCGTAGCACGGACGAAGGAACGACTGAAGGAGGTTGCTTTTTATTCTCTTCCATTGTTAACACTTTGTCATACTCGTTTTCAAAATGATCACGGGAGTCGTAACTGCATGCTAAGAAGGCGGTTAGAAAGAACAGCAAGGCCCATCCTCTGAGAGCATTTCGTAGTCCGTATTTGGAGAGAAGCGCCTCTGTTATTTGCGCCATGACGAACATGCCTACACTTGATGCCGAGGANAGTCCTGTCGGTATGGAAAACAAAACGAAGAAAAGCCAGAAATTGTTGACGAATGAAGTTGCGATGAAGCTAATCGACAACAGAAGAGCCCCAGAAATGGCGGTGAATCGAAAACCAAACCTTCCAATAAAGCGAGTCACCAATGGTCCAAACATGTAGGCAAGAGATACGTACAATGAACCTGTCCACGCTGAAAAACAAAAAAAATCAAAGAGAAATGTTGCGTGTGCTTCATGAATTATACATCAGGGTGTCACGCAACCGGCCTACGTTTGATTATACTTGCATTAGGAGTAAACTGTTGTTGGAACCCAAACTGAGTTGCTAGTTGTTGCTGCTTGTCCAGTTCGAAATTAGAACCCGGTACCTAAAAGTTGAACGACTCTTCCTTGCAAGCGAGCGCCCCGTTTGAGTCTAATCTCCCCCGCAGAGCTCGAGCGCAGAGTCCTTGTATTAGTTACCGTACAGAGCGTTTTCACGTGACGTCATCAAATTGTTAAATCCAAAACTAACGAGCCACCAAGGTTTTATCCTCGTCAGGCATAAGAGGTACTAAAGTTATATCCGTTTACAACTTTCCAGCCAGCGCACCTTGACGTTATGGCGGTGCATGACATAAAGCTACGATCGCGTTTGTCGAAAAATATGTATTCATCTCGTGATTTTTA